GCAGTATGTCATCAAAAGGAGTAGGAAAACTTCATTTTATTGATGGAAATGTGGATACAAACAAATATTTGGCAATTTTAGAAGAATCGCTTTTACCAGTGATGGAAGAATGTTTGACATCCGGCCATAATTTTGTTTTCAGCAAGATGGTGCAGCGTGTCATATCTCAAAAAAGGCTATAAAATGGATGGAAGAAAATAATGTACCACTTTTGAAATGGGTTTCTAGCAGTCCAGATCTGTCACCTATTGAAACTTTGTGGCACGAGATGAAAAAGGTTCTACGACAACACCCTGCTCGTACAATCACCGAACTGAAACAAAAGCTTTAAGAAATATGGGATTGTTTTACACCAAATTCTTGCCAAAACTTGGTTAACACCATGCCCCAAAGAATTTCAGCCGTAATAAAAAATAAAGGTGATGTTACCCAATGGTAATCTTTCAATTGTTGCTTTGTTAACTTCGCGCATTTATTCGCACATTGTTTATTTGTTCAGATGTTCTATTAGTTATAGGTCTAAGTGATTTCAAATATGTATTTTTTACGACTAGAGTGTATCTAAAATGTTTTTGAAGTAAATAGTTTCGTCATGTTTAGTTTATAAACGCATATTTTGGTACAAACCTTGAGGTGGGCCAACTGAAGTGGGAAGGGGCTCGTATATATAGAGATGGAAGAGTAAGGATCCCTAGGTTGATGAATGCCTTCCTACATGGCTGCATATAACTGAGACCTACGATGACTCTGATGCAGCGCCTTTGGAGTGCCAATATCTTAGGCATATGCACAGAGTGACCCCAATTCAAAAGTACATATGACATTCTTAAGTGGAAGTATCCATAATATGTGGTTAGCAACGTATCACCAGAAACACAGCTTTTCAGATGTCTAATTAAATAAATGGTCTTGGATAGTTTCCCTGAGAATACTTTTATACATGTATGTCCCGCTCAAGTCATGTGTGTATCAACACTGACACCCAAAATTTTACTGTGTCTACGGTATTGACGTTATAGTGACACAAACCTATTACCATGGACTGTATTTTTGAAGCGTTAAATGTCAGTTTATTTGCTAAAAACCAATTTTCTAAATTTACTGTATATTCAATATTCGCAGAGAGAAGAAGATCAATTGATTTACTACTACAGAGCATTGTTGTATCATCGGCAAATAGTATAAGGTTGTTGTTTGTATTAGCTTGTTTTTTGGCTTGATTTATCGTACGTCTATATTCACACTTGTATAAGTTGAGATACTCTTTATTAACAATTTGAGGATGAGATTTGTATAGTTCTGACAGAAATTGGGATTGATCTCTTGTGTGCTGAAGATTTAAGTTGAACCAAGATGAATTAAAAGTAAGACTGTTTTTGAGAGTTTTTGATTTCACTGGAATATTTCTGTCAATTTCATCGACCAGGGTTGTGACGATTTTTTTGACTATACATTAAATCGACGTAGCACGATTCTCGACAAAGTCCCTATTTATGTGCCGAATACTATTATATAGATTGAAAAGACCAATATCTGTAATTGGACGATAATTAAAACTTTTAGATGATGACGGATACGGCTTATATTCTATGGAGAAGTCAATTGCTAAGTGATCTGAAAAATAGGATTCAAAAACGGTTAAAGATTTTTTAATTTCTGGGCAATTCGTAAATATATTGTCGAGACAGTTAGCCTTACGGGTTTCCACAAACACCATAGACTCAAGCCCATAGCTATCAAACAAGTTCACTACCTGTAATGCTTGATATTGTATTGAATTTAATGTTGAAGTCACCAGTTGCTATAAGCAATTTATTGTTATTAATCTTATCTAGAAGCATCGTTAACGTCAACAGGAAAGAATTAAAATTACCATTAGGGGATCTTTAAAGCGAAACCAGTTGTACATCACCAATAATAAGACCAGCTAGTTCAAAGTTTACTTCATCAGATAGACTCAAGATATCCATGGCAAGGGATTCAGTAGCAAATGAATTATGAATATAAATTACCACACCACCTCTGATCTTAAGTTTCTTACAAAAACTAGTTACAGCTCTATAACCATTAATGTGCAGACAGCTCAATTCATCCGATTTCAACCAATGTTAATTTAAGCACAAAACGCCGTACCTGATATTCATACAAAGCAATTCAAGTGTAAGTGAACTATGGATGCTTTATTGATGACCAAGCAATCCAGTTCTCTGATAAATTGGGGCCATTAAAATTATGAACGCGCATATATATATATATAACAATTATTAACAAATCATTTTATGAATAATTTGTCGCATCGTAGCAAATCAAGACAAATCCTTAATTAATTGATTACACGATTGCGATGCAATAAACGAAATAGCCCATTAATCAATCGATAATAATGTGGACAAACATAGGATGCACAGATCATAAAAACTTCTAGTTAAACCCAGACTTGGTAATTGCCCGCATCGTTTCTGTAACCTTACATGACATTCAACAATTTTATTTCTACTATAAGAAAGTCGAGTTGCCTACTAAACGTCCTTTCATATAGCCATATAGTTGATTCCACTTTATTTTCCACGCCTATTAGCGAGAAGGTAAGGTAATTGTAAGAAGTTTGATATCAAGATGTTATGTTTTTACGAGGGATGTCTGTTAAGTTTTGCATATAGAAACATAGTAGGCCGCGCGGATCGAACGTCAGTACTGATTCTTAACCTCACTCTTTAGTAATCTTAAATTCAAAGTTTCACAACGATACGTGCAGTGTTCTCACTACAGTGAATTTTTAAGTGTCACCAAGTCATTAGAAAAATGGAACTCAAACGAGAACATTTTCGCGACATAATTTATTACAATTTTCAGAGACAATTATCGCAACAAGAATGCCTTGCTGAGTTACTGTCTGTTTTCGGCAACGAAGCGCCACATCAGTCGACAATTTCCCGTTGGTATGTAGAATTCAAACGTGGACGGGTGAGTCTTAGCTACGATCCCAGGGTGGGTGCACCAAAAACGGCAGTCACCCAGGAAAACGTCGATGCTGTGCGCAAACTCATCATTGAAGGTAGATATGTGACATATCGCGAGATTGAGGCGTCCTTGAAGATCTCAAAGACCTCAATTCAAAAAATTTTACATGAAGAATTAGAGTAAGAAAATTAGTTTCTCGTTGGATACCCCTGTTGATTGAAGAGCAGAAAGCAGCCAGGGTTAATTGGTGTCAAAAAACGCTTGACCGTTTCAATTCCGGAAACTCAAAAAATGTGTACAGCATTGTTAGTGGTGATGAATCGTGGATTTACTGTTATGAACCAGAAAAAAACGACAGTCGGCTGTTTTGGGTATTCCAAGGTGAAGAAAAGCCAACAAAAGTCATCCGTTCCCGAAGTGTTTCGAAAAAGGTGGTCGCGACATTTGTGTCACAAGCGGGTCATATTGCAACAATTCATCTTAATGAGAACTGTTATTACGGATTGGTATACCACCATTTGTTTGCCAAAAGTCATCACCGAGCTTCGAAAAATCAACCTCGAAAGAAGAATCATCCTCCACCAAGACAATGCAAGCTCGCACACAACCCAAAAAACAAGGCAGTATTTAACGGAAGAAAACGTGGAATTATTGGACCATCCTCCATAGTCCCGATCTAAGTCCTAACGATTTCTTTACTTTCCTGAAAATTAAAAACAGACTGCGTGGTCAAAGGTTCCAGTCACCAGAAGAAGCAGTTGACGCATTCAAAAATGCCGTTTTGGATCTGACAGCAAACGAGTGGAATAAGTGCTTTGAAAATTGGTTCGAGCGCATGTGTATTAATCTTCGTGGAGAATACTTCGAAAGACAATAAAGTCATTTAAAACAACCTACCGTGTTATGCAAAACTTAAAAAACATCCCTTTCCCTCGTACCTACATGGTCGATGAAAAAATGGCGTCAAGTTAGTTGACTCTGGACTTCCCGCGAAAGGTTACCAGCGGTTCATAAAAAATTACGTTCGGTATACATACAGAAAAAAAAACAATTACGAATATACTCGTATATACCAGGTGTTTCAAATTCGGTACTTACCATTGAGATGTCCGAAACTTGAAAGAGGGCAAAGTTGTGTATTTAGATAACTAACAAAATGCCGCTTAAAAAGTTTCAAAATTCAAAGTACTTCCAGAGAAAGATGGAAAAACCGAATTTTCTCAAGTCGTTTTATTTTTTCCTAACTTTATTCGTAGTAAGATTTCAAAACACATTGCACATTAACACAACCACCTTTTCTGCTTTACCAGGTGGCATGTTTAGACTTTCAATATGACGCTCCGTTTCTTGTCCTCCATCACCAACTTTGTTCATGTATCAATGACAGTTGTATCTTGATTATAAAATAATGCTTATAACGTAAAGCATAATATTTTTGGTATTTTTTATACTCTAATTACCACGAAGGCCTAAACACCCATGGTGTACCGTGGGGCTATAGGGGGAAAGAGGGGAAAGGGGGACGCCACACGGACTCTGGCTAGGGAACACGTGTGCACCTACGGACAATCACAACATCCATAGCCAAGAGCAAAATTTCTCTTGGTACGGGATTCGAACCTGCGTAGCGCACGGTGACTGATCAGGAGACCGAAGAGTCTACCGCTGCGGCCACCGCTGCTGCCTATATGAAAAAGGAATTGAGTTACTGAAGAATAAAATATGTTTTGAATGAAACAATGGTTCCTCTTCCAGACATTGTTCTTACACGAGTCCATTGTTCATTTGTATATTAGAATTTTGTGTTTTTAAATAGTAAGCTTTCAATAACATTTATCTTATATTTAAAAACCGAGACATTTGATAATTTTTTAAAAAGGCACAAAGTATGCGATTATACAATATGGTGGAATTACTAGTCTAAAATTATGTCTTTTCGATGGCAATAATCATCTGATATATTGCCGTTATATAAACGTAACATTTCGTCAAGTAGGTTCAATAAGCGATTATTCGGCACTAGCTACAAACGTATAACACAAAAATAGTCCCATTTGATAACGCTGATGCTAGTTTCTTCCCTGCTGTAAGTATCGACAATCTGGCAACGATGCTAAACCACACTAGTATAGGAACTCGAGAGAACCGGCAGAGTAAATCAGACACAGACAAGCAGACAGTGCTCGTAAGTTTTAAGGGAAAATATACGGGGAAATCTGTGATGTGCGAAATACGTACTGATAGGTTTATAATATGAATGGGGTTAGAAGTGGATAAATATACTGCTGCTAAAAAATTATATATAAACCCACCCCCTACAACGTCCAACCCCCGATTTTTAACCCCTACAAAAAATTTTCGAAAATGATTAGGAGCCTCTGAAATATCAAAAAGCGAAGTATGGACTGTTTTTATTTTTTTCGTGTTTTTGCCCCTAGCTCCACCACCACTGCATCGAATATAAAAGACTGCAAAGCTTTTGCGTCCTTGGCATAGTAGTGTAACACCGTGAAAATTTCATCGAAATCCAAGCGGTACTTCTCGAGTTATAGGTATAAGATTAGCGGAAAGACCGTCAGACAGACGAAAACGGGTGACATGGTTTTTCGTGATGCACACGTCATATAACATCCAAAGGCATAATGCCTACCTCATTTTCGAATTCGCGATTACATTAATCTGGAATCTTATTATTGCCTTCGCTGCCTGAATGTCTTTTTATCCCAAGTCCACCTTATTGTGTTTCGCCAGTACGTTCAGTTTTGTTAGAAAATCAGTGCTAGGATTGTTGTTTACTCTGGCTCAATAGTAAACTTCAAAACACATTAAACTGGCCTTATTTCTACAAATACCTATTTGCAAACCTCCTAAATTGGTTGCAGCAACATGTTGTTGCTTGCGTGTCCACGAATGTCTTAATAAGCAGAATTATTTATGAGTATTTGCATGACGCGCGACAGAAGGAAAACGTGATATCAACTCTGAGCACTTGTTCTATTTCCTATTTGTATACTAATTAAGGCGCACTTGTCTGCTGACAAAATATATAAGAAATTGTCTCGAAAACTATGGCGTTAGTTATTTCAAGAGTTTAGTTTAATAGTACTGAACCTAATTATTCCAGTTAAATAGCCGAAACTGAGGCAAAAGTGATAACACAGCCGCAAAGTTATTTCCGCTGGCGTAATGGTGTTATAAAGGATTGCGAATATTGTTGTATGAATTTGGTTTTCCGGAAACCAGCCGTTTTTTGTAAAACAGCGAAAAACCCAAAACACCTCTTTTTCGCTGAAACGGCTGAGGATATCTGGGATTTTTTTACAGGTTTTGCAAATTTTTGCTAAAATGCGTAGTTTTCGCCCTACAGCTTGCTGATGGTTTGACGGTGAGGGGATTGCGGGAGAAATGGCGCGTGTACCTGCATTCCTGCATACCACCAAACTGCCGCTGCACCGTCCACCACGGTTGCCAGGTTTTCAAACACGTTGGTCGTAAAGTTTTGATGAGAAAATCCCCAGAAATCGCCAATCTAGGAGTCAACCATAAAACGCCAGGTTAGAGATTGGGATGAATATGTGGGAGGAAGAGGGGTAGTAGCCTGTCTGTTAACTAAAGAGCGGAGGTGAGGGAGGTTAGACACAATAATAATGTTATATGATAATAAACAATTTCTTGAAAAGGGAGTGGGCGAGGATGGGGGGAGACAGGTGTAATCTGAACGAAACTATAAGTTCATTCACATGGGGCGGATCCATTTTGCTTAGATCACAGAACTTCCGCTGGTCCTCGTTTCATGTTTCATTAATCTATACAATTATTTTATACAATGCTATACCCCGATCCACAAAATTGCTATCTTATGATGAATTTAAAAGACATATGAAGAAATTCATTTTGAATGCACAGAAGTATATAAATTAGTTGATAAAATGTATCTGTCACCTCACACAAAAATATTTGCAATATAGCATTCCTTTGTTTGTATAACTGTTACAATTGTATACTTTTAACTCATGAAATATTGAATAGCCTTCACTTACGGAATGTATTTATATTTTTGGTACTTTAGTTTTGGGGGGGGTGTTAAGTAGCAGAGTAGCATTATGCTAAACATCGCCCCCTAAATAAAGAAGATTTATTATTATATCGGCAAAAATAAATTACAAATTAAGTGGCGACAGGAATGCTAAAAATCGCCAGATATCGCCAATTTGCTGGATACTGGGCGCCACTAATGTAGCCAATCGCCAGGCTATCAATTTTAGTCGCCATTTGAAGTTGTCAAATCGCTAGTTTGGCGAAAAAATCGCCACGCCTGGCAGCCCTGCCGTCCATGCGTTGACGACCCAGACGTGGTGGAGGATATTCAGTAATAGTCCAGTTGAATTTTGAACCCAGAGCTCGCTTGTCAGTTTGGCGTTCACCGACTTTTCCGAATGAACTAATTTTCGAAGTTTATGCGTTTAAGTAAGTGGAGTAATTTCTTTCAGTTGCTTGCCGATTGACTGGATAAGTGAGGTAAGTGTGTGTACATTTTAGAATTGAAGTTAAATGTGTTTTCCGTAAATTTGATTGGAGACGAGAAATTATGGACAAACCATTTATCGGAAGATGCATCAATTTTGTGTATTTTCGATTTTGATAGGATGCCAATTTTCTTATTATTATGTTTCTGTTCAATTAACTCAACTCTGAAATGTACACACACATACTTATAGTCCTTCCATTATCAATAATTGGAAACGCAAAAAATCCCTGAGCTGCACAAAAAAGGTGTGAAGTCCTGTGCAGATAACTACACGTCAAGCTAACGTACACAGATACATTGAGACTAGGACTAGACCTATGAGCCTTATTATTGGTTTCCACAGCGAGTGTGCAGAGAAGACATCGTCAAATGCTCATCACAATCGGCCATTGTCTATTCTTTACATATTTGCGTTGGCATATGTTAGCCCAACGTATAGACGCGTCTCAAGAACTGCTAAATCTCTTATCATGATCGTAGATCCAGAACTACCGGTGATCAAACTGATTTGCGAGGATGATTATGAAAATAACGTGGAGCCTCGAAAACGAGTCTTTTGAGGACTCATTGGGCTTCTACATCCTGTAATGTATTCTGACCATTGCCACTCATTTATATACACGTTCACACCTTTTTTCAGCTCTAGGTTTTTGTCGTTGTTCCAATTCTAAATGAAAATACTATACCTCACTTATCCATTCAATCGTTAAACAGCTGAAGAGAAATTACTACATCTTGTACTGCACTTAAAGGAATAAATTTAAAAAATTCGTTAATATGCATACGTCGGTGAACGCCACAACTACAAACGAGCTTATTATTCGAAATCGACTGGCCTATCACTAAGAGTGAGACACTGAGGACGTCCAAATATTAAAAGAGGATCGTCCGCGTTAACGGTGCGGCGGCTGGTGATATGTGTACGCCATCCTTGACACCGCAACCCGCAAGCCCCTCGCCAACAAGCCATCAGCAAGCTGTAGCGCGAAAACTAAGCAATTTAGCAAAAAAATTGCAGAGACCTTTTATGATGGCCCAAAAATTAGAAAAATTTACGTGTAAAAAAATCCCAGATATCCTCAGCCGTTTCAGCGAAAAACAGGTTTTTGGTTTTTCGCTGTTTTACAAAAAACGGCTGGTTTCCGGAAAACCAAACCCTTACGACAATATTCGCATGCCTTTATTACACCATTACGCCAGCGGACATAACTTGGTGACTATGTTATCACTTTTGCGGCAGTTTCGGCTATTTAACTGGACTAAATTAGTTTCACAGAAACATGCATACAAGTACTTTACGACTGAATTAAATATTTTAAATGGTGCAATATTTTATCTGCAGCCAAAAA